AGAGTCTCTTAATAAAATATGACTTAAGGATAAAGATCCAGTCAAGGGGCACCTGGGTGGCTCAGTGGTTGAGCATCTGCCTTTGGCTGAGGTTGTGATCCTGGGGTCCTGGGATCGAGTCTCACATTGGGCTCCCCACAGGGAGCCTGCATCTCCCTTTGCCTATGTCTCTGCTTCTCTCTCTGTGTCTCTCATGAATAAATAAATAAAATAAAATCTTTTTTTTAAAAAAAGATCAAGATTACTACTGTGCAACCCTTTATTAAGACCTCAAAAATATCTAAGATGGTACATTGGAGGCATGTAAGCTAAACAAAAGAACTTCTAAGAACTTGAAGCATTTTCCCACAGCAGCCTGAGCCACCCAAGTAGAGAGAGGCCTGTTTGAGAAATAATTTTGGATGTAGTTTTGGAGCATGGAGTGAACCCAATCAGATTCCTAGGGAACCCATGACATTTCTTTTTTAAAGATTTTATTTATTTGAGACCGAGAGCGCAAGCATGAGCAGGGAGAGAGGGGCAGAGGAAGAGGGAGACTCCCAAGGAGACACCTTGGATCATGACCTGAGCCAAAATCAAGTCAGATGCTTAATTGACTGAGCCACCCAGGTGTCTGTGGAAACCATGAAATTTCTGAGATAACTGCATCACAGAGTATTAGTAGCTTGAAACACTGAGGCAGTTCAAAACAACAGGAGCTTCTGGAACCTCAGCTTCCTATAAGGCAGGAAACAGGCTGTGAGAGCTATTTCACTGCAAACATGGGCTATGTCTTATGAAAAAGGAAGATGTCTCAGAGTAGAACCAAGAACCCAGGTGGCACAGCCAAGAGCCAAGGAGAAGAATGAAATAGGAAACCACACATAGGGGCAAAACCACAATCTAACCAAGGAACATTCCATATTCCAGAGTAGGAGCCCTGTTAACATGCAACCAGTTGGCTTTCAGAATTGTTATAGACTAGTAACTGGTATGTGCCTCTTATTTCTCCCTTTTTGGAACAAGGGCATCTATCGTAGTTACTCTGTCCCTGCCTCCCCACTGCTTCTTGGGTATATGTAGGGGGTTGATAATGTGTGTTTTGGGTTGACTAGTCCGTGAAATTGGAAAGATTCTCACCTGTGGAATCTTGACAACATCTGGACATGACGTGGGTCTCAAGATCCCAAACTTCAAGCTTGCTATGACAACTGAGATGACATTTGGGGTCCTGAGATAACAGTGAGAATATTGTGAATGTGGGAGGAATCTGAATAATCTGTAACCAAAAAGGAACTGTGATAGATTGTTTAATCGTCAAAAATTGCTCCCATCCTAGTATGTGCAAAAGTGGAGTATATTTTTCCATATCATTTAGTCTGGGCTGGTCGTATAACTTGCTTTGATGAATAGAAGGTAGCATGCAAATTCTGGAACCTATTCCTCAAGAGGTCCTGTAGCTTCTGCCTTTGCTTTCTTAGAATGATGCCCAGAGACCATGTGTAGGGAGGCCAGTCTAGCTAATAGAGGATGAAAGGACACATAAAGCAGAGGCAAGGAATCTCAGCTGATAGCCAGTGTCAACTGCCAAACATTCAAGTCAGTCTATCTCAGACCATCCAATTCAACTGACCCTCCACCTGAATGTAGCATATAAGTGAGACCAGGTGAAACTATAGGGGAACTGCCCAAATGGCCCACAGAATCATGAGAAATAATAAATTGTTGTTCTAGGCCACTTAGTTTTAGTGTTTTTTTTTTTTAACATAGCAGCAAATAATGGAAACAATCCTGATCTTACAGATCTTGCAATCTATTGGAAAAAAACAGACAAGCCAGTAACAATAATAAAAGGTGATGATCTTTCTAATATGGCACTACAGAAGACCTATGGGAGCACAAAGCAGGAAGACAAAGCCTTGTTTAGTGAGGAGGTATGGCTGTATAGAGGAAGGAACACTCATCCTGCGATCTGGAAAATAAGAGGCACTTTTTATCACTATGGATAGGGGGAATGTAAATACACAATGACCTGAGGCTAAGAAAGATTTTGAGGAAATTCAGCGTGGTTGTAACATGATAGGCATCTAGTTAACACTAGCTGAATGAATAAATGGATGAATATATAACAGAGCGTCAGACCTCCTTAAGGCATACATTGCTGATGCATTATCATTGTAAAATGGGTTATGGAATTATATTCTGGATATGTTTGTGGTCATTCATATGCATTTTTATGTTGTTTTGTTTTGGCTAGATCACTAGTGTGGGTTAATAACAGTAGTTACTGAAGACCTTTTACCTTTTCAGTAGTGACTGAAGACCTTTTACTGAAGTAGTTACTGAAGACCTTTACTGGGCTATAATAAATATTATTTGATTTATATTCATAACTGTCTTGCAGGATAGAGAATATGCCCTTTTTTTCTTTTTTAATAATTTTTTTTAAATTTTTTTTTTTATTTATTTATGACAGTCACAGAGAGAGAGAGAGAGGCAGAGACACAGGCAGAGGGAGAAGCAGGCTCCATGCACCGGGAGCCTGATGTGGGATTCGATCCCGGGTCTCCAGGATCGCGCCCTGGGCCAAAGACCGGCGCTAAACCACTGCGCCACCCAGGGATCCCCTTTTTTCTTTTTTAAAATTATAGTTGATATACAATGTTACATTAGTTTCAGGCATACAACATAGTAATTCCGTTATGCTATGTTCACCAATACACTTGTGGTGTCACCATATGGCACTATAACAATACCATTGACTGTATTTCCTATGCTATTCCCTATTCCTTTCTTCTCCATGACTTATTCATTCCATAATTGGAAGACTATACCTCCCTCTCCCCTTCACCCATTCTGCCCATTGTCCCAACTCCTGTCCTCGCTGGCAACCATGAGTTTGTTCTCTGTATTTGTCTATTTCTGCTTTTCCATTTGTTCTGTTTGTTTGTTTTTTTTTTTGTGTGTGTGTGTTTTTTGTATACCCAACCCCCCCACGACCCCTTATTTTATAGGTAAGGAAATAAGGCTCAGTGAATAGAATGAACTGTCCAAGCCCTGAATTGGATCACCATGAGTTTTCATAGACTCTTTCTGGCATCCACAAGATCAAAACTATTTTTATAATAATAAAGACATTATTTGCCTTTTTCACTATGTTGGCATTTGCACTTAGATTTCTGGAGGATTCTCGCTGTTCCCTAATTAAAAGAATGGCTCGATATGCTTAAATTGCTTTGGGTAAATAATATAATTTATGCAGAATACTTGTTTTCCTTCTGGGAGCCTGGAGTTGTAGTATATGCTAGGCAGAGGTACCTACGCAACTGACTCCAATAAAAATTCTGGAGTCCCAAGTTTAGGTATATTTTCCTGGTAGACAAAGGCTAATTGGTTGTTACAATTCATTGCTGGAAGAATTAATCATGTCTTGTGTGGTTCTACTGGGAGAAGACTCTTGGAAATTTACATGGAAAGTTTCTTCCAGATTTTGCTCCATGTGCCTTTTCACTTTGTTGATGTTGACTTGTATCTCTCTCTTTTTTTTTTTTTTATTTTATTTATTTACGATAGTCATACAGAGAGAGAGAGAGGCAGAGACACAGGCAGAGGGAGAAGCAGGCTCCATGCACCGGGAGCCCGATGTGGGATTCGATCCCGGGTCTCCAGGATCGCGCCCTGGGCCAAAGGCAGGCGCCAAACCGCTGCGCCACCCAGGGATCCCTTGTATCTCTTTTTTAATAAAAGATCCTAGCTGTGGGTGCAAATATATGCTGAGTCTTGAGTACTTTTAGCAAGTTACTAAAATTTGGGGGGATTCTTGGGGATCCCCAACATCCTAAGTGAAATCCAAACAGGAAAAACTCCAAGAATCCATACCAAGACACATCATATTAAACTACTGAAAACTAAGATAAAGATAAAGAAAAATCTTGTAAGCAGCCAGAGAGCAGTGACATAGTACTCAGAAATATTACCAAGGAACATCAGTTTGAAGGACAGTGGATTTCTCGTCTGAAACCAGGAAGCCAGGAGTGGCACAGCCTCTTTCAAGGATGAGAATGAAAGACCTGCCAACTGTGCATTCTGGATCTGGTTTATCAACTCTTCAGGAATGAAATCAAAACATTCTCAGACAAAGGAAAACTCGAATTCATTGCTAGTAGAGCTACCCTTAAATACTGGCCAATAAAGGTTCTTCCACAGAAAGGAAATGATAAAAGAAGGAATCTGGAGTACTGGGAAAGAAGACAAAACAACAGAAAAACAGAATTGTGGGTACATAAAAAGAGACTATCCTTTTCCTCATGTTTTTTTTAATAAATTATATTTGATTATTGAAACAAAAAATTATAATACCATCTGATACCCAATCAATGATATTTAAAAGTGGGGAAGGTCAAGATACCTAAAAGGAAATGAGGTTTCTACATTTCACTCAAAGCGGTAAAATGTTGATACTAGTTATAGGTTCCTTATAACTTATATATACATTATACATATACATATAAGTATATACATACATATATGTGTATAATACATATATTAGACATGTATGCATATATCTTATACATGCATGTATATGTAAGTATATAATACACACATATAGTAAGTATACACATAAGTATATATACTTAATATAAGTAAACATGTAAGTATATAATACATACATACACACATATATACATGCATATATACATATATACACATATATTATACATATTATATATATTATACATATAATACTCAGAACAACCACCACAAAGACCATAGAAAGAGATGCTCAAAACCACTATCAGCCAATCAAGATGGAATCCTAAAAGATGTTCAAGTACCCCAAAGGAAGGGGAAAAAAGAAAAAACAGGGATGAGAACCAGAGGAAATAAACAGAAAATAGATGATAAAATGGCAGTGTTAAGGGCTGACATAATTAACCTCAAATGCAAATGGACTAAATACACCAATCAAGAGAGCCCACAGTCCATGGGTTGGCATCAGATAACAAAGACAATACACCTACCGTTTGGCTTTCTGGGGACTGTTCCCTGCACATCTGGGGAAAGATGCTGCTCCTTCTGGGGAACTCTGCTTGGAGATACTCTGCCTGGACCTCCTCGACAGGCTCTCTTGTAAGGGTCCTGGGCTGCGTCGCTGGCGGGAGGCTGTTTGCTGGGGGCCCGGCTCTGCCTGTGGGAATCAGTCTGGGTGTTGGGCAGACAGGGAAGGGCTTGGGGTCTGCAGGAATCTGGACTCAGCCTTCCCTTCTGCTGTTCTGCTTCCCTTCGTTTGTTTTCTTCCTCTCGCTTCCTGGAAGCACAGCCAAGGAGGTAGAGGAAAAAGTTAAGAGTGTTACCCATTCAGATGTTCCTGAGTGAGATTTAAATTTTATGAGGAGCTACTACATCACAGGAGGGGTTTGGAAATTCACAGTTTCCATGATTTCACAATTCTTGGTCTTTTCTCCAGACCTCATAACTCAAAAGATGATGAAGCTGAAATGAAATCTTATAGATCAGGGCACACATGATGGAAAACTCTATGTTTGTGAGACACGACACAATCCTAAGGTGTGTGTGCCCAAGCTTGTGTGGGATTCCTGCAACTATCTGCTTTCTTCTCCTATTCCAGAAAGCAAATCAGAATGCAACTGAGCATGCCAGGTACAGGGATAACCTTTAAACTTCTCTATTTATTAAAAAAGACCATTGGCAAGCCTTATGATTATATGAAACAATTACTTACAAAGCACCTCACAACTGATTATAACACACCTATGTGTTGCAACCTGGCTATCGAGAGCTCTAGCTAATGAGACAAACCCACTCATTTTGCAAATGAGGTCCAGAAGGTAGGATGATTTTCAAAAAGTCCTGCAAAAGTTCTGGTGACTAGGCTGGCCTTGGTGGTTAGCAACCGAATAGAAGAGGGCTGGCCAGCAGAGGCCAGGGTGAGGAATGAGTGGCAGTGGGAGGAGGAGGAGGATGGGTCTGAGGCAGCGCAGGTCTAGAAAGGGGTAAGTTGCTTGAGGATGAAGGGGTTAAGTTCAGTACAAGATCTGTTTGACCAATAGCATTAATTGCTAAGGATTTCCAAAGGAAAGAAAGGGAGAAGAAAACTAACATTGAGCCTCTCCTGTGCTGGGCACCGTTGGCCACCGAGTACAAGCCTCCACAACAAGCGAAGGAAGCTTGATTTCAGAGGAGACAGCTAGGGAAAAAAGACCTAACAAATGATGGAAGAAATGTTACACTGGTGCTTGCAGAGAAGGATAGTGATTAATTTTGTCTGGAGGAGTCCAGAAGGTCCCAGCTGCTGATTCTTAAAGATGTGGAGAGGTTTGCTACACGGATGAAGTGGGAGTGAGGACTTTCACTTTGGGCAAAGGCACGGAGCGTGGGAAAATTGGGTCTGTTTTGCGTCTTCTCATCTTGGAGCACAGCAGGCACCCCATGCATATGTGCTGCTCAGACGACTCAGTTATGGCTCAGGAGGAGAAGTAAGTAGGCGGCCACATAAAGGAGAATGATTAGGCCCGTAGTGGAGAGAAGCCTACACTGGGAAGTATGAGAACTTTTCTAGTCCTGCTCCTGCCAATAAATACAAAATGATATCGAGCCAGTCACTTTCCTGTTGGAGACTCAGTTTCCCAGGTCTAACACTTGTATGATATAAATTTATAACCTGGAATTGGTTTAGGGGTCAGTTTGGAAACCAGATGTCTTTATAAAATCTGGGGTATCTTTTGTAATGAGATAGGTTTCTTTTATTGTAATAGCTGGTATCAGAGTCCCTCTTGGGGGAGAGGGGACCTTGTTTGGACAAAGATTTTAATCAGCTTGAGAACAGAACTGAAGGGTGGTAGCAGGTGAGACCTTCAGGGCCTGGATGGCAACTGGCTCTGAGGCTCTGGGGGAGTGCTGCTCCTGATAAAAAGAGAATGTGTTTGAAGCTCCCTGACAGGGAAGGAGGAGATGAAAGAACCAGAGAGAGAGAGAGAAAGGAGGGGGAAGAAAGAGAAGATGAAAGGCTGGGTATTGTGTATAGCAAGGGCCAGGCTGAGAACCCTCCATGAGGAGCTGATGGAGAAGAACTTTGGGTCTGCGCTCCTCACACTTTAACGAATGGAGTCTCCTGAGATCTCGTTAAAATCTAGATTTTGATTTAGCAAGCTTGGGGGAGGGCTCAAGATTCTGCATTTCTAACAAGCACCCAGGTTATAGAGGTGTTGCTGGCCCTCCAAACCGCACCTTGAGTAGCAAGGCTTAAGGCAACAGGAAAGTTTCATATGGACTGTTTTTTTTGTTTTGTTTTGTTTTTAGAGAGAGTGGGTGCAGGGAGGAGGGCACAGAGGGAGAGGGAGAGTCTTAGGCAGGCTCCACCCCCGATGTGGGTCTAGATCTCACGATCCTGAGATCATGACCTGAGCCAAAATCAAGAGTTGGATGCTTAACCGACTGGGCCACCCAGGCGCCTCTCACATGGACTGTTAACTAAACCATGACGGGATATGAAATGTGATTCTCCTCAATGACACCACCTTTTTGGTAAGGTCTACCAGGCTCACACATGCTTTTTTATAAGCAACTTGACAAGCTGCAGAGCTAAGATATCAGACATGGACGCAAGAAACAAGAGTGAGAGGGGATCCCTGGGTGGCTCAGCGGTTTAGCGCCTGCCTTCGGCCCAGGGCGTGACCCTGGAGACCCGGGATCGAGTCCCACATCGGGCTCCCTGCATGGAGCCTGCTTCTCCCTCTGCCTGTGTCTCTGCCTCTCTCTCTCTCTGTGTGTGTGTATCTCATGAATAAGTAAATAAAATTAAAAAAAAAAGAAACAAGAGTGAGGCAGAGACCCTACGCCTCCAAGAAGTCATAGAATTCAGATTTCCACAGGTGTGTGGGATTTAAGGCAATGTTTATTTAGATCTCAAGGGACAGAGAAGACTCAGATGACAGGTATCTGGGTTACACTTTGATATAATGCCTTGTCAACTTAACTTCCCCTTCTGAAGGTCTTTTGTCCTGTGGTGAAGCTCCTGTGGTCCACACTGGCTTACCTAATAGTTTCCCACTACATCCCGTTCCTAGCAAAAGTAGCCAGATGGGTTGTGCTAAGTCCTGTATAACTCTGATGTTTTCCCTTGACTCTGGTTTTGTTACACGCTTTGCCAACTGCTGACACCTGAGCAAGCAGCGCTGCGATCCACAGGCTAGCTGGACAGCCTGTCATCATCAGTGCCTGAGATGCATATGGATGCTAGCAGGTGCCATTTCAGTGTGAGCTGTCTGGGAGAAGGCTGCTTTTCAGAAGAAGGTGGAAGCATCTGGATGGCTGAAGTGCCACTAATTGATCTAACAGCCTTGCTCCTGGCAGGCACGGGGACGGCTGCTCTTTTTACGAGCACTGATGAAGAGAACTGCTCTAAGAGAATATTGGTCCTTTAGACAGACACACACGTGCGCTTGTCTGGCTTGGCATCTACATGGATCTCACTGCCATTAAGAAGGGCTCGGAGGTGATAAATTAGACTTTGTTATTTGAGTGGTCATTTCTCTTTCTTTTGGGAAACTAAACAGCTTTCCTTTTCAATTCTAAGCAGCTGCTTACAATCAGGTGCAGGGCAAACCTTGTTACTGCAGACCTTTCTGGGCCTCAATGAAGGCGGCCACAGAACAAACAGGGGATCTAGCCTTTTAGAGTGATCAGAATGTCCAGAAAACAAGGGTGCCCTGTCTTCTGAAGATTACTTTGGGAGGGAAGGTTTGCAGGAAGGCATTTTTCATTTTGGTAGAACTAAGTTATAGCAGATTTGGAAGAAAGAATGTAATTATCAGAATATATCATTAGAGCCTCAGTTTGTGAGCAGAAATAAATTAATATTTTAAAAAACTGATGGGAAATATAAGAAAGGGAGACAGAACCTGAGAGACTCCGAACTCTGGGAAACGAACAAGGGGTGGTGGAAAGGGAGGTGGGCGGGGTGTGGGGGTGACTGGTGACGGGCACTGAGTGGGGCACTTGACAGCATGAGCACTGGGTATTATGCTATATGTTGGCAAATTGAACTCCAATAAAAAAATAAAAAAATAAAAAACTGATGTATTAAAAAAATCTTCCAGGTGACGTATGGCCCACAACTGTGCAGTTCTCCAGAGCTGTGGCTCTTGATGTAAAAGTAGTGATCATTGCAGATAAGGGGGTGGGATTAGAATTGGGACTACACATAGCCTGCCTCCTATTTACATATTGCTGCCTTAAAACAAAAGCAACAATACCACTGCGAACGCACACATGCACAAAGACTACAGCCCGGGAGCAGAACATGATCGTACATGCATGTGTCCTTGGGGAATAAGGTCCAGCTCCACTGCTCATGGTCTGAGTTCAAAGGAATCTCAATTTACTCACGTTTATTTGGTAGATAAGGAAACTGAGGCAGAGACAAGTGACTTACCCATGACTGCATGGTAAACTACAGACAGCTGAGCTGGACCTCAGTTCTTTACCCCTCCCTATACCATTGACCTCCGTGACAGAGCTGTTTTTTAAAATTTCACTTGATCCATTTCTATCATTTAAAAAATGAATTGGGTCAGGGGCACATGGGTGGCTCAGTCTGTTAAGCATCAAACTCTTGATTTTGGCTCAGGTCATGATCTCAGCATCGTGAGCTTGAGCTCCACATTGGGCTCCATGCAGGGTGTGCAGCCTGTTTGAGATTCTCTCTCTCCTTCTGTCCCTGCTCCTCCCCTATGTCCACCTCTAAAAAAAACAAAAAGCAAACAAACAAAAAAAAAACCCCAATAAATTGGGTCATATAGCTTCAGATATAACTTTTAGTCCTAAAACCTTAGACTCAATTGTCCTGAAACATGTTTTTTCTCAAACTAATTTATTGCAGAATGTAGAAGATCTAATAATCTCCATGGGAGTTATGTTATAAACGTGACCTATTTTTGTCAAGTTTGGGAACAAATATCAGAAAAGGAACCAATGCTATTCTAGACTATATGAAAAATTAAAGAGAAATAAAATTCTGCCTATGCACAGGAAGTAACATTTTAGCAGGAAATTAACTAACATAGAATTAAAAATGCCAGTAAAATAGTCCTGCCTTTGGAGTCCAGGCTCCAAACTGTGGGCTGAAGGAACCAGGGCTGTGTCACCCAGGTGAAAAAAGATGTAAGGGACACATTACTGCTGCAGATCTCTGAAGGGCCACTATGAGGCAGTAATGTGGCCTGGAGTCCCCCATATCCAGATCTGAGTCCCAAGGATGGAGATTTCTACAAATGAGTCGCCTAGATG